CATGCACAGTAAATTTTTATTTATTTTTTATAATCAAATGAATATCTGGACGACTAACTCCTTAAAGAGCACTTAGCCATCCATGTTTGATAAATGTGTACCCCACTAAGGGAAACAACACCCTGATCACTAGCAAAGGCAGGACTTTGAATTTCCAGGGCCCAGACACCTGCACAGGTCCCCTTCCCAGCCGGCGCCCCCCAGCAGAGTCCTTTCTTCCTAAAATTTTCCTCTTTCTCCAGATCGCCACCGCGACCCACCCAGACCTTCGGAGAACGGGGTAAGTGTGGAGGTGCAGCTGAGGAGGGTTTGGGGGTCTGTGGGGACCACAGGTCAGTTGCTAGGACTTTCTCCAGGAGGGGACACACAGAATGGCACTGGGGGCCTAGATCTTTCCTCCCATTGCCTCAAGCTGCGGGAGTCTCTGGAGAGTTTGAAGCCCCCTGCGACTCAGGTGGGGGCTGGGGATCGTCCCTGCAGCACTGCGGCCCCCCCCCCCCCCGTGACTGTCCTGGGGAGCACTGGCCTGGCTTCCAGGGGGAGGGGAGTGGGCGGCGCGCTGCCCTTGGGCTCAAAGATCCGCCTGTTGTCTGAAAGTGTCCGAGGCTAACGCTGAGCTCCCCCTTCCAGGTCACCTACTCCCAGGTTCAGAGGAACGACCCCCTGGATGGGCCAGCCGAAAGCACAAGGTGACACTGAACAGAGGGACAGAACTGCTTAGGCCGGAGCCTCGCTGGCAGGACCCCACCCGATGGTGGAAGACCCCTGCAGCCGGCCAGGCCGCCCGCGCACACCTGCAGCCTGTCCCCTCACAGTGCAGTGGGCGGCTGCCTCTTTCTGGGCTCCRTCACTTGCAAGAAGAATCCACAGGCCTCCAAGAAACCGCTCGCCTCACTCAGGAGAGCGCCAGCTCACCACGACAGGTCACCATCAGCCAAGAGGAAAGCACCCAGCAGGTCTGGGGGAGCCACCGGGGGCTCCTCCTCCTGCCTCTCCCGGGACTCCCGGGGTCAGCACTGAATGCCCCCAGCACTGATGTGACCTGCAGCCAGGGAAGCTCACCAGCGACCGGAGGGTCCCGACTTTTGTTTGTTGTTATTGTTGTTTTTGAACTGGGATTGAACCCAGGGACACTTAAGCACTGAGCCACGTCCTTTTTTCTATTTTATTGAGAGACAGGGCCTCGCTGAGTTGCTGAAGTTGCCGAGGCTGGCTTTGAACTYGGGATCCTCCTGCCTCAGCCTCCTGAGCCATTGGGTTTACAGGAGTGCGCCACTGYGTGTCCTGGCTTTTTATCGGCAAGGTCAGACCCTGTGCCCAGCAGCTATGCCGCCCCGGGAYGCAGAGCCGCTCGGCAGGCCGCACTGACGATGCTGAACTTATTATCTTTTTTGACTTCTGTAGATGGACGCCTGCCTCCATCTTACTAGCTCCTTATCATTTTTACTTGGTGCTGAGTATGGAACCCGGTGCTCACACGTCAAGAGACTTGGGACTTTTAAAGTTGACTGTGAAAGGCCTGCGGAGGCGGGGGTGTGGCTCAGGGCTAGGGGACAGGAGTGAGGGACCAGGCCGAGGTCCACACTGCCGGAGAGTCGAGGGAAGGATTGATTTCCATATATTTATTTATTTAAGTAAAATTTATTTAATAAATAAA